CTTCTCTTTGTGAAACAAAATCAAGGGAAGTAATCCTTGATATTGTCTATTTGTAATCACAGGTTTGGGGTTACATAAGAGTTCTTCACTTTTGACCTCCAAAGTGCAAACCATTGGTAAAAAAAGATATTAGAGTGTAAAATGGATATATTTCAATAGGACAGTTTATAAAAATTTGCAAAATGATGTACCTTAGGTATTAAAATATTTTTTAAAAATCAAATAGAAACATGACAGGATTTTAAGTTAAAAAAATAATTGGCTATATGGTTTGTAAAATAGATGGAACATTATGACCGTAACGCAGTTAATAATGATGCTTTGTTTGTGATGACTGGATGAAAAGAACCATGGAAGCATTTAAGTGTAGGTATTGATGTTAGAAATATTGTAATTTTCTAGGCTAACATAAGCTACATGCATTTTTTTAATTTAGGAATTTCTTTATAGATGTATTAATTGTGTCTCTATATCTGATGAAGGTTGGGTTCCAACATAATTTTGGTCAATAATTATTTCTAAGAACTATTCCAAATATGAAATTTTTGAATATTTGGAATCAGTTTTTTAAATTTGGCAAAATAGTTTGAAAGTTGTTACTTTTACCATAACAAACTGCCAGAAATATATGTAATTTGAATGTTATCGAATGCGCTGTGCATTTTATGGCACTTTTGTGTACTCTGTGCCAAGACTCACAAATTACGTGAAAAAATGTAATTGCATATTTATGTTTGCAATGTTTTTCTACTTAAATGCTTCCAAAGTTAACTACCTTTAGTAACAAACCAAAGGTCATTAAAAACAAAACAACCTGTCAATTATAATTATGATTCATGTGAAAGTCATTTGGCTCTGTAGATCACATATTAAAGTTTCTTCTGTAAACCTAACTTGTAATGATTTTGGATGGTTTTAGTCATGAGCAAGAGTTTGGTTTGATTTGGTTTGGTTTGGCTTGGCTTGGCATGGTGTTTTATGTCAAAGTAACACAAAAAGCTTATTTAGTGCTGAGGCAGTTGAATTAAAGTGCATTGCAAAGTAGCTGAGTCATGTTCTGAGTCAGTGGTAGTATTCAAACCTGAACCTATTTGGTTGTAAGTCCTGCACATTAACCACTCTGCCACCATGATTGGTCAAAGGCAAGAGACTTTTCATAATAATTATGCCTTTATCTCTCTGAAAAGAACTTGTATTAGACTATTGGAAAATGGGTAAAATCAACAGGATATAAAATTCAGCATACAGTTTACAGAGGTTGTGTTCAAGTTATTTAAGCCAGATGAGCGATATCATGCCCATTTGTGTCTCTTTTTTCTTAATGATCATCATCACCATTATCATTGTTATCCATTCTCAGTACAATGGAGTTCTCTCTGGATGATGATGGTCAGTTTATTGAATTATGAGCTACCTACGTTAATTTTCAGTTCCTGGCAATATTCATTCAGGTGTTGCAGGGAATGACAGCATTATGGCCACTGGGGTCTTCTCTGCCAAAGAATTACTGAGGGTAACAAGACGTAAGTATTTTAGTGCCATTTTTTTATCATTGTGAAAAACATAAGGAGACATAGATATTGCTTTCAAGCAGTCTCATTCAAGGATAAAATTAGTAGAACTTGTTTTGAAAAATCACCCCTTCAGCACCCTTCTGGCAAATTATGGTCTCACAGTACAGTTAACAACACTGTATAATCAGTAAAACTGTGTATTGAGAATTTGATCTCTCAAGACATATGGTCTCAAAATAGTGATTTTTCAAGACAGGTTTACTATAATAATTTTATTTTGGTTGTATGGTTCATCAGGTAAACTATAGTGCTTTGTCATTACCATTCCACATTCTGTGTTGTTCATTACAATAAGGTGCTTCTATAAGGTAGAAAATCAGGATTTATCATATTTCTCCAACGGCAAGCCTGTGCTGCATGATAAGCACATCCCCATTTGTCATATATACTCACTTATAATTCCAGCCCAGTTGCAAGTAACATCATGATCTGACAGTACATAATGTGCTGGCGGATCAGTGTTTTTTTGTTCTTTTGATTACTCTTAATAAAGGACTCTTAATAAACTGCACAGACCCAGGTTTGTCAGCACAATTTCCTATGGCCATTTGCATTTGCAGTTGGACTTAATTTGTAAGTGAGTGTAGATGGTTACAATATGTTTGCAGGCTTACATTAATGAGTTTCAAGTACACCCAGTGCCTAGACAGCACTAAGCTATTGGAAGCTATAGAGACCATATTTGGTATAAAACAAATTTAAGGGTCCTGTCAGACTGAGTTCAGACTTTGGGGCTCTAAGCTGTAGCTTGTTTTGCTAATGCCTAAATCCAGTACTGAGCCCACCTGACCTGTTAAAGTAGTAGTGCATTACATTTTTCTCAAACCCATGTAATTTCATCCTTCATACTGGTAGTATAAATACCTAGATTTATATATTTATTTTGTTTTGTCAGTAATTTTTGGTGTTGTTTAAAAAATGTTCAGGAATGTACTGGTAATTATAAGCAGACAAAATTATCATTTCAAGTAAGGCCATATGTCTCAGAGTTGGCAGGGTTTCATTTTCATATGTGTCTGGCATCACACAAGCACCATCTATCCTCTCAGTGCTATAAATTGGTCTAATTGAGATCCTGTATGTTTCAGTTACTTTCCTTCATTATATAAGCCAGAAAGAAATTATGCCCTGAGTTGGATTGGGTTAACCTCTTTGATCATTTTGAATAAATGTGGACCACTTTTTTTTTATAGCTGTTAAAATAAAATTTCAACTTTGTTGATAGAATGTGAATCTTTCTGTCCAATGCAGGTTAACCTAAATTATGAAATCGGTAGTTTAAATGATAAGGGCATTGATGAGGCATTTGATTTAAAGCACACTGTAGTTTTGTTTACCGAACTACAGACAAGCTGATTAGGTACTGACAGATTGCTTTTTTAAGACATTTTTAGTTGGAACAAATCCATCACATAGCTGTTATTTTGCTTTTAAAACAAGAAAGCTATTTTAATTTTCTGTTTAACTGCAGCTGGCATCACACATACAACGTTCTTATGTTTTTATGCCTTTTTTTCAATTATAAAAAAAATTAAATTTGAGAGAATTTTAAGTGGTTGGTCGGCCAAAAATATGCCTTAATATCACAATGTAAATGGATTCCAATGCATGTATAAAATATTTTAAATGTGTTTACTTTTTAATTTCACTTATTTATTTCTGAAAAATATCATTCCCAGTTGAAAAAATTTTGTGTATGGAAAATATAGATTCCCAGTCATCAAAGAAAAATCGTATGATTCATACATCTTTAATATTGTACACTGCAAAAATCATCATTATAGAACATGCTATTTCTTACATTTAGGTCACTACTGCATGCGGTTTGCAGTCTTCAAGTCTTTTGCACACATTATGAAATACTTATTGAACATCTTTCCTATTACAATTTCAGTGAAAACAAAATATTCCTTGGATACAATCTTATCTAAATGATAGAACTCAGCAAGTGAAACTCTTCAGAACACTATCAAGTCCTGGTTGGATAAAATTTGGTGTGCCTCCTTAGATGTCCAAAATATGGCTGCAATATGGTGACCATCTTGAAAATCTTGTAACTATTCCTTCTAAGTGGATGGTCATATTAACATGAGGTTTTCACAGAAATATTTCTTCTGATGTCTGGTTGGTCCTAAGACAAAATGTTCATGATCATTGATATCCATTTAGAAAATTGTTATTACTTTTCTTGAAGGTTCCATTTGGTCTTACCAGTTTTAACTAAAACACTTCTCACTACAGTATATGTAGTTGGTCATAAATGAACATGATATCAATGTGGGATCCCAAAATTTTGCAAGATCTTGTAAAAGTCACCTCTGCCAAATGAATTCCAAAACCAAGATATAAATATAAAAAAGACAGAAAACTATTTCTTATAATAATATAATTTTTCCTATATCAAAATGATACTAATCTGACCTCCAAAATCACTTTTTTTTATGACCATTATGAAAATCTTTATAGTAGCTCCATTCTAAATGGATGGTCTTATTGCTATTGGGTTTTCACTAAAGTCCTATTGTAGTCATATGACCTCCAACATCTTATCACTACTCTTGTATGAACGTTGGATTGACATTGGCTTTTGACCAAAACACTTTCATATTTAATTGGTTATGACTGAAAATGATGCACATCAGACATCCAGCCTATATGCTCATTTGTGAAAGAGTTTTTAAAACAAGACCTTACTGACATTGTGCTCAAGTAAAAAAAAAGAAACATTGCTTGCAATTTGTACTTCACTAAGCTTTTGAACAGAGTGCTTTGTAAATACAAGTTAATTTTAATCATATTTTGAGTTCTGTTGCATTCCAATAAACAAGTTGCTAGCACTCAAGAGATCTTGAGTTGTGTTTTAATCTAGTTTCTGAGTTTGATAACAAAAACAAGTATGAAAGGATTTTTATCAAATCCAGTTTGTGGGTGTTACTGATGAATATCTTGAATGATGCCAATGAAATATGTTTTTTCTCCACAAAAATATTAATTATAGATTTAACCAAACTTGGGATATGAGTATATCTCGATATTGAAACAAGTTAAATGGTTTTGATATCAGGTTTAAGGTCAGTAGCCATGAAAAAGAATTTTATTTTAAACTTGGAGGTATCTCGTGAAGATATTAATTCAGACAAGTTAGAAAATATTTTTATTAACAAATTTATTATCCTGGAGGTTCTCAAGAATATCAGAAATACTTTCAACACCTGGCAGTTAAAAATAATGTTTGATCTTATTTTGACTTCATCCTAGGTTGGCAATGGGCATCTAGCTTTGAAATCTGGTTGCATGGCAGATTTTTATTGCTGCTTTATAAATTACTTCAGTTGCCACAAAGATTTCTATCACCAAATTTATTTAACAACTTTTGTCATCTATATAGTTAGTCTTAATTGCACTCAATAATTTAATTCCCCATTAGTCCTAGTGGTCTAGGGGTTAGAGTGTCCACCTCGGATGCAGGAGGTCATGGGTTCGATCCCCAGTTGAGCATGATGCCCCAGTGCTAGACATCACTATTAACTGCCACACTGCAGACATAAAGTGATATGACTACATTACAAATTATAAACACCACACCACTAATGTAAAAGTCATTCAAGTTTACATGCTTAGCATATATACTTATAAGTTGAATATAGCTGCAAATTGCATAGACCCAGATCTTTTATCACATAATGCTCAGGCAGGTCAATGTCCATGCAGTTTGTTAGGAGTTATCAGTAGAACCAACAATACAGACCATGGTCTGCTGGCACATTATGCTATGGCAGATCAGGATCTTTATTTGCAGTTTGACTTGAGTTATAAGCAGGTATATAGAGCATTTAATCCTTCCAAGGTCAGCTAATAAAAGATGCTAAAACAATTTCCTTTGTTGACACTGCCTTGATGGCTGAAAGCTTCCCCCAAGTTGCCAGCCCCTGACTTCAAAGTTGTCCATGTTTTATGTTTATCAGATTTTACATTATTATATTTTGGGTTATTGCTGATCTGATGCTGTTATTAATCCTGTGTCTAAACTCCCATCTAAGATTTTTATTTTGCTATGACTGGGTAAGCCAGGATGATATGCATCAACCATCTGATCTGATTATTAATACTTGCAATACTTATTTTCTTAAAGTTAGCCAATGGGTGCAGATGATGTGGTCACTGTTGATGCTCTGATGGCAATCTGCTATTTAAAGTAAGTAGGTCATAACTGGGTCATATTCTCCATTCGACAAAATGATATCCTTCAGTACTTGAACCAGTAAAATCACAACTATGAAAGCTTCAATAACTTGGGGAAAGGCTCTGAGACTGAGGTAGAAAGCCCTTAGTTTTTATAAATTATAAATTTAAATTAGTTTGTGATGTAGACACAAAGAACTTGTAAATTTTGAGTATGGAAATTTGCCGCTGCCATTAATCACGCGGCTTCGCTGATTTGATACTGAACGAGTTTTCTCAAGATTTTAAAATACATACAAAATTCTTTTGTTAAAAATAATTATATAGCTATAACGACCTTATTTTACTCTTAAATCTATCCATACATAATATATGTTTACCAAAAAAGTAAAATGGTTAAAATTGCTGTTAAACGTAACATACACTTCACTGCTTAACAGGCCTATGCGTAGCGGACTGCACTGTGTAACTTTGCTACATGCGTATCAAAGGGCTAAAAAGCAATGCACTCTATGAGGGAAAGGGTTAAAATTCAAACATAAATTTGTTTTTGAGTTCAGGCTTTTGGTTTGATCTTACTAAGATGATGTTTGATCATGTGTGTGGTCAAGTTGGTTGCTCACCCATCTGCTTTATTTTTGCATTCTCAAGTGTTGACACTGTCACAGATTTATCAACATCAATCGAGTCATTTTGTTTGCTTAAGTGAAAAAGTTGCTAATGTCCAGCTCAGTTTATTGATTGCAGCAAGTTCATACCCTTGCTCACAGAGCATTGTTAGTGTGATAAGGGAATCAGTTTTTTTTGTAGTCTCCAAACAAAAATTAAGCTTGAAATATGTTAATATAAGATTTAACTGCTCTTGACCTGAATGGAGCCAAATAGCAAAATATTTAAAATGTCTAATAGCTGTTTTGGAGTTTTCGGTTGTTTTAGCTTGAGATACAGTTGCTAAATCCTTATCAATGTTTGAGGGCATGTCAGTTACAGTATATATTTTGGGGAAAAAGGTGGATTTACCAAAAAGATGAATAACTTGAAAGTCCTTGGGTTCAAGCATTTGAAATAAGAATAAAGATTTATAGATTTTATACTTAAATTAATTAAATTTTGTTTAATAAACATATAAAAAATGTTATGGCTTTAATGTATTGTGATGCATCGTACTGTGCTTAAAATACAGGCACATCATTATATTATTACAACCATAGCAGTAATATTAATGTACCTACATTATGCAGTTTTAAATGAAAATTTTTTATGACTTCAGCTCACAAATGAATGCTTTCTTTCTATTCTTTTATAAATATTTTGTTCATGTATTGAATATTGTATGCCCCTGAGGGTCTGATAGAAGATAATATTGAGATTAAAGAGCTGTACCATCTGTAAATAAACAGTTATTGTTATTGTTATTAATATTATTATTATTTTATTATTATTATTATTATTATTATTATTATTATTATTATTATTTTTATTATTATTTTTATTATTATTATTGGATTGGTTAGACCTCAGTCAGTCTTAAAATTGCATCAATTAGATTACCATAATTTTGATATAAATATAAGTCTGGACAATAATTTTAAAGGTAAAATCCATTAGCCAGTTAGTGGTAAATTTTATTTATAGAATATGGTCTCAGACAAAGCAGGTTTTCATGTTGCTTATACTTAAGGGTATTTTTTGTTATTGCTTTTTATTCATATGCATATTTTCCCAGCTTTGAATGGTAGATATAAACATAGTGAAATAACTCTAGTGTTTCATAATTTATTGCCATGTGACCAATCTCAATAGATCAAGTTCACATGGGTTTTTGTTTTAAACAAAAATGACAATCAAGATTAGGGCAATTCTGATTGTTTGACCCCATGTCATACCATCTTCAGCAGTACTTCAGGTACTTTGATTTTCTCTTTTGAGAAGAGTGTGGTTTAGTGAAAACTATAAACCCACTTAGCACATATATGAATATAAATCTAGGTCTTTCCTTGCATGTTACCAGGCTTGTTTTATGTAATTGGGTGTAGTTTATACCTGGGTTTGCATCAGGACTGCTTACCAGTTAAAAGAAAACTTAATAAGCTTCAGAGATAAAACAACTACAAAACACAAAAACACATCATGATCCAGTTTCCATAATATATCTTCCAAGTGCCATAAAGATGAAATGGGGCTGAATTTTTTTTATGGAGTTGAGTGCTGTGCAATAGAATACTTTGGTATTATAAAATCTGACTTGTAGTAACATGTACAAAAAAAGTAAAAGCATGTGTACACTGCAACACAATTTATGGTCAGTGTAAAGTACCAAAGTTTGTAAAGTATTGTCTCAAAGTGATCTCTTTGAACTTTGCAGAAGGTGATGGTAAAGATCAGAGCAGATCTGATGTACATTTGAAAGTATGTTTACAACCTTTTTTTTTTTAAAAGATTCTTGTTCAATCATTATATATCACTAACTGTCAAGTACCAATAAAACTTGTGATGTGTTTATTCCACTCACCCTCCAGCTCATTAACATGGCCAGGATATTGTAGTGTGGCTGTGTGTGTGTGTGTTTGTGTGTGTGTATGTGAGTGAGAAAGAGAGAGAGAGAGAGAGAGAGAGAGAGAGAGAGAGAGAGAGAGAGAGAGAGAGAGAGAGAGAGAGAGAGAGAGAGAGAGAGAGAGAGAACAATTGATATAATTTTAAGAAAAGTTAGTAGGATAGAAGATGACACTAGAAAGATATTATTAATTTGGTGGGATTGTGGACAGTTGGTTGTCAAAATAATGAATGCTAATTTTGGCTAGGTAATTTTGATGTAATAATCTGTTTTTAACTAATGCCTTTTCTTTCCTACCCTGTTTTACCAGCTTATAACATGGAGGCAGGTGTAGATCACATTTTTTCTTATAGAAAATGCACTGAAAGGGCTCCAGTTTGCTTAACAATAAAAATTTCAGTCAAATTTGATAAATGAAGGCTTGATCACTTATTTTAATGTTGAAAATAGGGTTAATGTGTGTTTAATTCAGAATTTTAATTGGAAATTCACACATTTTAAAAAGAAATTGCACATCTTGTACTGGTCTTTAAAAAATTTATCTTTCAACATGATTTTAGTTTTATTGATTGAAATGTGACAAGAAATTGATCTTTAAATTTCATTTAAATCTTAATGTTATAAATGTGATGTGCCACCTTCAGATGTGAAAAGTCAGCTGACTCTCATGCTCACGTTTATTTTGGTAAGAACCTAGTTCATTAATTAAGTGAACCGCTCTGGTGGCCTAGTGGTTAGAGCATCTGCCTCGAATGCGGGAGGTAGTGGGTTTGATCCCTGGTCAAGTCATACCAAAGACTTACAAAAATGGTACTAACAGCTGCCTCGCTTGATGATTAGCATTAAGAGGTTAGTGTTAGGACTGGTCAGCCTAGTATCAGCATAATGTGACTGGGTGGGAGATGATATTACATGTCTGCAGTATGATGCCCCAGTGTTAGACATCACTATAAACTGCCACACTGCAGACATCATTGCAATATGACTGAAAAATTGTTAAAGCTACATTAAAAATCATAATCACATTAACATCACATCATATTAAGTGATTACTCCGTGGCTTAGTTGGATTTTCTTTGACAAATGTTGGAAATTGTCATTTGGCAAGATAATACAAGCTAAATCTAATTAAATGAACACAGTTTTGTCTTTTCTCTCTTCTTTTGGTTGACATTTTTCTGTACCTGGATGTAGCAATCTGGGACTGTAATTGTTGTGTGCCAAATTGTTTTTATTAGTACAATATATATAGGGATGTATAGTTGTTGAAATGTGCTATATAAATGAAATAACATTTAAAGTCACTGTCTGGGGGAAAATAGTACAAACATATTGATGGTTTTAACTTAAACTGTTTATGAATGCAAATTCTATCTACAAAGCTCATTGGTGTTAGCTTGCAGTGGATACACATTTTCTGACATGGAAAGGGAAGCAACTCCAGCAGTAATCCTGATACACAAATTTGTGAGAACTGCGTGTCAACTTAATCATTATTAAAACTCATCAGTTTGTTGACCTTTTTTACTTTTTCACATCTAATGTCCATCATTTAAAATCTGTTGTATGAAGATTTGTGTATGACAAAGCAAATTATTATGCGCATGTATCAGTGAAAGTTGCAGAAATCTGACCTCACTCTTAAATGGCAAGGCAAAGTTTGAGTCTCCTTTAGTATCTCATACCCTTGACTGTTCTTTGGTTGATGTTTATGGACCCAGTTGCTTGTAAGTTTTCAAGGAAGAGGTGCATGTTGTTAGGACCAACAAAATTAAGATTCTCAATGAACCTTGAAATTGGCTTCATGAATGAAAATGACATGAGTTGCCTCCCCCTAGAAAATCAATAACTAGTGATTGTGATACATCTGGTATGTTCAGTACATCATGTAAGCATTGTCATTGTGTGTAGAGAGTTAGGAAACCAGTAGAGGTTGCAGATTAGTTGACTTTCTAGGTTGCTTTAAAAACTTGAATTTGAATATGGTTTTAATCCAGAAACTTTTAAACTGATTTGTCATAGTGATTCATCTGATATTAATATTTTCATAATATTTCTGGCTTTTAATGATATTCATATGTATCAGGTTGAATATTTTGCCAGCTCATCTTATACTGTCATGTTATGTTTTGATTTTGTGCAAAAAGTACAATTATAAACTAACTAAAACAACACCCTTGTCTTGTGTTAATGCACTATTATGAGCATGTTTGATTAGAACATCCCTTTTTCTAAGGTCTCCCCACTTATAATGTAGATCACTCAATGGCTTCAAAAGGATTGAGCATAGCAAAGGGCTTTTATGGTTAGAATGCATATTGAGTGCAGATTTGGTTTGCTTTTGTGTTTTCATGCACAGCAGCAGAAATAGTTTGTTGAGTGCTGAGGCAATTGCCAAAGGACACATCTTGGTAGCTGACTCGGGTAATCTGGTGGTTAGATTCAAACCTGTACCTTTTTTGGTCTCCAATCTGGCATGCTTAAAAACTGCAGCTAGAGCATAGTATCTGGATTTTAATATTAATAATGAGTGCATTACAAAGACTAAGATTAGTAATGCATATTGAGCATATTTTACAGGATAGTAAATCATATTGAGGGCTTTATAAGGATTTTAATAATGCATTTTGAGCACAATTTACAGGGATTTTACAGTTAGTATTGTATATTGAGCACAGATTAAGGTGATTTTAAGATTAGTAATGCATACTAAGCAAAGCACAATTTATAGGGATTTTAAAGTTAGTAATGCATATTGAGCAGTTTACAGGGATTTTGAGATTAGTAATGTATTCTGACCACAATTTACAGGGACTATAGTTTAGTAATATATTCTGAACAGAGTTGAGAGGGATTGTAAGATTAGTAATGTAAATTCAATGCAATTACAGGGATTTTAAGGTTAGTATTGCATACTAAGGACATGGCATGGATTGTAAGGTTTGCAATGCATAGCATTTTACAATGCTTTTATGATTAGTAATGCATCGTTAGCACATTACAATGATTTTATTCCATATTTTGCACATAAGTATTTTAAAGTTACGAATGCATATTGAGCACAATACATGTACAAGGATTTTATGGTTAGTAATGTATATTGAGCACATTTTACAGGGATTTTAAGGTCAGTAATGTATATTGAGCACATTTTACAGGGATTTTAAGGTTAGTAATGTATATTGAGCACATTTTACAGGGATTTTAAGGTTAGTAATGTATATTGAGAGCATTACAAGGATTTTAATAATGCATATTGAGCATATTGTAAGGATTTTTAGATTAGCAATGCATGTTGAGCACAATTTACAGGGATTTTAAGGTTAGTAATGTATATTGAGCACATTTTACAGGGATTTTAAGGTTAGTAATGTATATTGAGAGCATTACAAGGATTTTAATAATGCATATTGAGCATATTGTAAGGATTTTTAGATTAGCAATGCATGTTGAGCACAATTTACAGGGATTTTAAGATTAGCAATGCATATTGAGCAGTTTACAGCGATTTTAAGATTAGTAATGTATATTGAGCACAGTTGAAAGTGATTTTAAGATTAATAATGCATATTTAGCTCAGTTTACAGGGATTTTGAGATTAGTAAAGTATACTGAGCACAATTTACAGGGACTTAAGCTTAGTAATATATTCTGAATAGAGTTTACAGGGATTTTAAGATTAGTAATGCATATTTAGTGCAGTTACATGGATTTTAAGGTTAGTAATGCATATTGAGGACATTGCATGGATTATAAGGTTTGCAATGCATAGCATTTTACAATGCTTTTATGGTTAGTAATGCATATTGAGCACATTACAAGGATTTTAAGGTTAGTTTTGCATATTGAACACATTACAAGGATTTTATGGATAGTAATGCATACTGAGCAGGATAGTAATGCATATTGAGGGCATTACAAGGATTTTAGTAATGCATATTGAGGGCATGACAATGATTCTATGGATAGTAAAGCATATTTAAAGTTAGTAAGTTGAGTTTTTTTAAACATCTTCCATACTACCATCAACTCACCCAGCAAGCAATTTAGATTATAGTCGCATATTGCACTAAGGCATGTGTGCCTCGTTAATTGTGCTTTTTTTGCACACTACTTAAGTTATGCGATTATCCACTATTAATATGATGCCCTCCAAGCAAGCCACCAGAGGCAGAGGGCCCCAAAGGGCCGACAAACTCCTCACCAAAGCAACATCATTCTGCATCCTCTTCCGGTCATACTCTGCATTTCTGTCTTGTCTCCATCCTCTTCCATTGATGCTGTCACCAAATACACCAACAGCATTATATCTCTTTCCCGTTTTCTATTTTAATGGTTTGTTCCTGTTATATTGCCGAACATGTGATGGTCACATTTGAGACAGTTATTCTTGAGTTGTGAATTTGCCTATCTTGTGATGGCTCTTTAATTTTGTGTACTGTGCGTACTTGACTTTTCCGAAAATTTTGTTGCATTATGTCGGCTTAAGAAGCCTTTCTCTTTTTGAGATCTTAATTTGGGTGTTGATATGTTGCGTTGTAAATTTGAACCCATCAGTTTTTTTATAGGGCCAGCAAGTTGTAGTTCTAAAGAGGGCTTGTGTTTGGGGGTTTTTTTTAGGTTGGGGGCTGGTGGTGTGTGTGTGCTATATATTGTTTGAGCTATAAGTATTCCTGTTTGTGTTTCTGTTGAACTATATTACCATACATTCTCATACACATTCACAGATTCTCTCTCGCAAACTTACATAGTTTGTGTTGGGGAGGGGTGGGTGTTGTGGTTGGTAATCCGGGATGGCATATTGTGTGTGTGGATTTCGCTTTATTTATTGATTGGTGGCAATATCTTTTCATGTGCATTCCTTTCAAACTCTGAAAGGTTTTTACTTGGTGGTCCTACCCCTCTTATTTTGTATTCCATCTACCTGTTGTTGTATCCTGCTCTTTATTTCAGCTATTTACTTACTTTATCTTGCCCATTGATGTCTTGGTCTGTTTCATGTCTCCTGGTCTTCGTTATTACTGCCATGGTTGATGTAGTATTTCTTTCTTGTCTTTTTCTTCCTCTTTCCTTGTAGTTCTTCTGCCTGTTGTTGTCACCTTTTCCTGCTCTTCATTATCTCAATCATTTTCTTTCTTCCCCGTTCTCAATGTTGAATTGCTCTTTTTCCCTATCTTCTTTAGTACTGCCATGTTTGATGTGTTTTCTTTGCCTAAGATGAGGTTTGTTAGTCATGCGCCTCCTTGACCATATGGTTAGTCTAAATTATATTAAAATAATTATATTTTAATGGTTATTTTTGTCTTTTGAATGTATACTTAGTTATTTGCCTGATATGGTTCGAGTATTACATATCTTATTTAGCTGTAAATTTATAATTTTGGTTTAAACTTATGTGTGACCCCTCTAAGTAAGTGTAGTTGACCATTTTTGTATCCTAAACAGATATCTTTGCTGAAAAATCACGTCTCTAATCGAGATCTTCATCTAGATGTTGTTGTTGTTGTTGTTGTTGGGCTTAACGCCATTTTTCAGCACATGATAGGCTATTCATGGCGGCCAGTAATAATGGTGGAGGAAGAAACCGGGAAATCACCGGAAAGAACCACCGACCCACGAGAAGCTACTGGCAAGCTTTCTCACATATCCACATTCGCCGAATCCTAGACTCAAACCCACGCAGACAGAGGTGATCTTCATCTAGATAAAACAAACTTTTTCTACTGTTTAACTTTATATCATTTTGAGATATATATTGAAGGCCCATGCTTGGTCTGCATGTGCAGACC